ATGAGTTACAGTGAAGATGGGTGAAGATCAGGAATACAAGTTCACCCTCCTTCCAGGGATTCTTAGCACAGAGAGTTTCTCCACCCTTCCTGTCCTGAGAGATTTCTGTTAAGAGGGCTGAACATACTACTGACAAAATGCAATCGCCTTGTATGTATATACAGGATAGATAACACGGTTGTTCTTCTATCTGCTGTTTCTATACTGAAAGAAACTGTCAATGAGTCTTTGGTTGACCAGTATTGCATGTCTATATCTGTTTTCATGAGAAGCCACTCTGAAGATATCAATATGTAATACAACCACCATTGTTAATTCCCTACCACTTTGTTTGTAACTCTGTATTGTCTGTATTGTGCTTGTGATATGTTGTAAAATGTTGTATGTCTGTTAATGTTTCCCTCCTTTTATCCTTAAAATAAAATAAAAAAAAATGCAATCGCCTTTGAATGTTGTGTAATCAGCTTCTTAATTAAGCTGTCTATTGAAAAAAGTGGTCAAAGCAATATTTCTTTGGTAGCATCAGAATTACTTAGTATTTTTCTGGAGTTTCTAAATAGTTAGCCTGATAGGAAAGGAAAAAAGAATTGAAGAGAAAAGCAGGCATTGATATCCCATAAGGAATAAAATTATTCACCTAAGAAAAGAAAATTCTGGTACAAGCACCAAACAACAATTAAATAAATGAGAGTAATGAAAAGATTTCCAATATAAAATTGGTAAGTGAAATTTCTTTGAGGAAAATATATATAGTATAGCAAAAGCCTTAACAAGACTTACCATAGGACAGGTTTTAAAGCCCTAAAATTCTAGTAAAGAGATAAAAGTACTAAAAGGTATATTTCATAGATGTTAATATTTTAAAAATTCTATAAATGTTGCTTCTACTGAAAAAAATTAAAGAGATAATTTTATAGCAATGGCAGATATTACACAAATGCTCTGAAATCTATAAAAGACTTTCAGAACATAAAAGAATCTTGCTATTTAGCAAAAAATAACTAAGGATATAGATGCATCAATGGAACAGATTATAGAAAAGTAACCTATCTGTATCTATCTATCTATCATCTTTTTATCACAAGATTTGTATAAAAATCCACTAAATATCAAATTGTTATTCATACTGAAAAGTAAACTATTGTAAAGTAAACTGAAATTAAGTGGGTATGTCCATTTATCACAAGATATATTCCAGAGGTACTAGATAATTTTTTACAATATAAAAATAATAAACAACACAAATGCATTTTCAACATTATACCAATGTTACTATTATGCATTGCAAATAAGAAAAAGAAAAAGGTAAATGGTGGGTATTTCTTTCCAACCTAGAGGCTCATCTATTTCTGGTTAAACATGATATATATAAAAATATTTACAAGCAAAGCCTAGTAAATCATTTTAAAAATACATGGGCAACAATATTTTCTATTCCTTAACATGCAAAACATTTTTACAAATTAGAAGGCCTTTCCTAAGACAAAAAATTGATTAAGGCTAAGTCATCAAAGAAAATATTCTTAAGGAAATACATACAGTATAATCAATCTAAATGTTAATAAAGTATATGCCCTTATATCAACATGATGCCATTTGTTTAACCTCAATTTAAGCCAGTTGTGCAGTGTAAAGGTTAAGGAAATATTATTTCCCTGAGTGGTTGGTTGAAAATGCCCATTATTTTGTTGCAATATGTAGTTTGATAACATGTATAAGAAAATTTAAACAATATATAATTTTGAGCATGGCCATTTTATATTTTAACATTCTTTAGCTTTAATCAGGAGCATTCCTCTAAGTATCACACATCTGTTGACCTTAAATGACAGAGAAGTGATTAGAAATTTTGGAACATCCCGAAATGGGTGAGAATTGAATTATGATAGACTGAAAAGATATGAATTATGCAGGCATAATAACTATCATATATATAATACTTTGTAAGGAAAATACATTGATAAAAACAATAATGCTACTTTGAGTGTTTATATTTATGTGCAGGAAAAGCAAGATATTATCAAGGCTACAGTATAAATATTATGGCCACTGCATTTGCATATATGAGCAATATGATCCTACAAAATATTAAAATTAGATTATTCAATATAAGGCAGATGTAAAATATATAAATTGCTTATACGTAAACATTTTTATTTCCAAAAATTCTTTCTTTTTTCCTTCTCAGTTTAGCAGGAATGAAAATTGTCTCCTGAGTCCCTAAGCTCTTGTCCCTGGTGGCTACATCAGCCTGGGCATAGCACCTTGGAATTGCGAGTGTGTTTTTGTCAGCCCCAGACAGAGCTCAGGGTGCAGGGCTCTAGATCAGGGCCAACTGCACAGGCAGCCTGATTCTCTGAGCGTATGTGGGGACAGCAGAGGGCAGTAGAGGAGTAGGGAGCTCATCCTCTCCTCCTAGGAACAGAAACAGTTCCTACATCCTTGAACTATTCTTGAAATCTGATGATGCTTCATATCTGACCAGTGCCTCACTCCCCAGTGTACTCAGGTGATGTCTGATCACACGGGGCTCTCTTCAGTGAGAATCCTCTCAGGGGGTTTAGCCAGATGCCCTCCCTGTCCCCCTCCATCCCCTTGGTTAGCCCTAAATGCACATTAGCCTGTTCACCATTCAGAATCCAATTCCCCAAACAAACTACATTTCAGTGGATTATATACTGAGGGTTATGTCCCAAACAAATAAAATCCTTATAATTTTCAATAAGTGACATGAGGGGCTGGGGATACAGCTCAGCAGCACAAGTGCCTGCCTGGCAAGCACAAGGTCCTGAGTTCAATTCCCGGTACCTACCCTGAAAAAAACTGAATAAGTGACATCAGTAATTAATCCTCTCACTAAGGCTTAAGAGATTTTGAGCAAAGTTATGGGAGTCAAACACTCAAAAATACTTGTAATCTGCCATAAACAAGAAACAGTAGCAGGTGCCAGAATCAAACTTTGTCTATTAAGCACATTGGAAACACACATTTTAGAAAATGGTGGAAGAAAAGCACACATTCAGGCTGTAATGACAAATATCTGTCATGCCAGCTGCTCAAGAAGCTTAAGCAGAGGAAATTCTTGAACCCAGGAGCTTGCTTATAGCATTGAGAGCACAGTAAGTCCCTGTCTCAAAAACTATGGAAACACGGGGAAAGTGTCTAGGAATAAAAATATAAGCAATCATCTGGATGCTGTAAGGAGTATGAGATAGGTAGAGACCCCATCTACTGAAGGAAAAAGCCCAAATTCCTTGCTCTGCTGTCCCAGCTCCCAAATAGGCTGTAGCCTTAAAGAGACTACAGTTACCCACAGCTGGTTAATGTAGGGCCCTAGATTCGCAAAGAACAAAAGCCTCTATCACCAAGTTAAAAACAATAAAACAAAGTTTAATAAGCTGTTAACACATACATGATTACAGAGAAGGAAGAGAAAGCACAGAGAAAGTTACATCACCGGGTCAGAAGAGCTTCCACACCTGAAATCCCAATTCCAGTGCTGAGTGGTTCTTTCATATGGTTTTCAGGGTTCTGATTGGGAAGGGTCTGGGCAGAGTGTCCTTGCTACGCACATGATCCCAAAGTCCTCTTACCAGTGAGGCACCTTAAATAACAGTGGAGACAAAGGTGGCCTTGTCCCAACTTTGTTCATGACCAGAAACAGGGAGTCTGTAGTTCCTACGAACTGGCCAAGTACCCAAGGGAACAAACATCTGCATTTTCTAGACAAGTAAGAAAGAAACGCCTTGGGATCTGGCCAGCTAATAGTGAGTTTCTGCTCATATCAGGATGTCCACCAAGCATCCTGGTGTAATCTTTAGAACAGGCTGTGGCACCATGTTATGACCAAGGAAGATCTTTGTGTGTTTAATTTTAACCCCTTCATATGGGCAGCCCCCACAGGAACACTGAGGGTCAGCATCTTCTACAAGATTCAATCAGTCATTGTTCCACTAACATCTTTTCTCACAAAAGCACAAGCCATTTGCTGGAATTCTCTGACTCTTTGGAAAATTCATTATTTAATTATATATTTGGCCTCAGACCTCATAAGACAGTATCTGAATAGAGAAGATACACTCATCTAACTGATGTAGAATCACATTGGTGGGGAAAAGTCTCACATGATTTATTCCTTATTCTGGGCTCACCTTGCAGTGGCAGGAGTCCCGGAGCACCCTAAAGTGTATCTGAAATAGTAGCTGAATGATTACATGAAGAAGTTTCTCCAAACAGAAGGGGTAGAAATATCAGAAGACAATTGGTAAGAATGCAAGGAATTTTATAGTTAGTTTTATAGAGAAATAGAGAAACAGCAAACCCTTCATTTTATTGGGGAATATTTGACAAGAGCCACTGAGCCTCCAATTCAATCTGAGGAGTTGAACTGTGATTAAGAATATCACCTAATACCATGCACTGGCATCTAGGTAGGAGGAAGGTCATGAACCGTGGACAATAGTGAGAATGGTATCTCTCTCAGGTCCCAAGAGTATGCAGAAGTAGCTAAGAACACAAACAAAAAGAACATTCCCTTCTCAAATGCAAAAAGAGAAAGAGAAGACAAGAAAAATTTATACTCAGACCTGTTGTGCACATGGGGGGGGCAGAACAGGTGGCACTAGAGAGAATATTGATGTAATATGGACCTGTAGCCATTATCTATCCTATGTCTGGAAAGAAAATAAATAAATAAAGAAGACACTTACGGAACAAAATAGAATTCTCTAGTAGGCTTTATACCAAAGACACCAGTATAGTACATGAAGAAATAAAGAGACAAAAAACCCCCAATCACCACGTCTCCATCCTTGCGCACACTGGTGCTCCTTCGGTGGAGGCAGGCTTCATTATCAAAAGTGCACACTAAGGCAGGAAGCTGCAGAAGAAGGAAGATAACAATCAAAGGCAACATCTTGGATGCATATGCAAAGCTTTAGGCTGAGGGAAGAGGAAACTTACAGTCTGAGCCAGGTAAATAAATCTGTTATGTGTGTGATTCAGCGCGACATTGCTTCGCACTCAGGTGGACGCTCTGATACCCCAGCTCCTGTCACCACTGCCTGCTCTGTGTCCCTGGAGAAGTGTGCAATCCTTGTCCCCCTGGGCTCTACATCTGAGGTCTGGTGTCCAGGAGAAAAACACAGAAATTATGCTTGAGTACCGTTTTGTCCAAAGGGAGCCACCATAATTTAATCCCGTTCTACTGACAGCAAAATCCCAGGGGCCACTTCCTCTTGGGCAGATTTGCTCCTAAGTCTATGTCAATAAGTCAGTGGTGTAGATGCCATTAGAGATGTTGCTAAACGGCTTCACTAGAGGATTTAATAATAGGGTTCTCCTGAAATAGTCTGAAAAGCCTCAAAGTCAGGCAAAAATCATTGGACATTGTGCCTTCCAAAGTGAAAGATTAAGAGCTATCATCTGACAGGCCTATGGTCAAGAGTTGCAGCCACAGAACTTTCCTTGTGTAGCTGTGTTGTATGTGTAACAGTTACGTGCTGAAACTCACACGTGCTCTCCATTGCTTGGGGTACAAATAATTGCACTACAGCCAAGACACCCAAATTAGTGACTGAACATCAGTGCAGAAATTCAATGCCCTTTTGAGTTGTATAATTTAGCCCACATCCCTGCGGCTTCATTCATTTAAGTATCTTCATTCCATGATTTAATATATTGTCAGAATCCGTTCCTACTCCCACAACCTTGAGTTCCTCCAGGACTTAGGCTTCTGTGAGAAAGTGACTCTGTGTGGTAAACTTCCCTTCTTCCCTCACCCTGAAGCAAAGGAGCCAGGCCAAAAATGACTTCCGTATTTCCCCTTATTCAAAATTTTGAGGAGCAGGGAAGCACAGGCAACATTATAATCCCAAAACTCAGTGGAATTTTCAGGGCATGTAGATTATTCTGAAAATACTGTATTAGATGAATGCATGTCATCTTATGTTTGTGAAGATCTACATCCCCAGCACAAAGTGTGAGCCTCAATGTGCACTTAGACTTCACTTATTGTATAGGTGTCAATATTGGCTTATAAACTGTGACATGTTAGTAAAAGGCAATCTGTTAAAGACTTAGGGAAACATTGACTTTTGTAAGGAAAAACTTTAAAAACTAAAGTATGTACATCATGAGAAATTATTTACTTTCCAGTTTGGAAGATGTTGGCCTCATGTCCTCGTTAGCATTTGAAAAGTTGCTAGTCAAAATAAAGTTGGGCTGTAAGTGTGAAATCTTCAGAGTTCCAAAAATTTTTAAGACACAATGAATTTTTAATAATTTTATAATAACTATATAACAGCATAACATAGTGAATCTATTGGGTTTAATAAATTGTAAAGATATTCTTAAATGAAAGGGTTTATGTCCATTAACCTGGATATTGCAAGTAGTACCCAGTAAAAACACAAACATACTGGAGAATATGGCTGAGTATTTTCTATTTCTTTTCCCTTCCCTCCTTTCCCCTCTTGTATTCCTGCTCCCATTCCCATTTGAATATTTTCTTCCTATTTCCCAGGATCTGTTATATATTTTGTTCTTATTTACCCTTTCAGTTTCTCTCAGTAGAAAAACAGTGTGATATTTAAACGTGTGTCTGATTTATTTCATTTAAGAATATATTGCATTTTTGCCCCTTCCTTCCTTTCCCTCTTCTCCCCTTTCTAGTTCCCCTTTCTTTAGAAAACTTTCCTGCTACTTTACAATACCTTTTATACACTTTGCTCATTATTTACACATTCAGTATCTCATACCAGAGAAATAAGCAATATTTATATGTGAGTTTGATTTATTTCACTTAAGAGAGTATTCTCAAAGTGTATCCATTTACCTAAAAATGTCTCAAGTTTGTCCTTCTTTATGTCTGAGTAGTACTCCATTGTATAAAAAAGCCACATCTTCTTTATTCATTCCTTCCATTTGGGTTGCTTCCAAGATTTAGCTATTACAAACTATGTTGCTATCAAAATGGGTGTGTATATATCGCTGTAGTATCATATATTTAATCCTTCTGGAAGATACTCAGAAAGAGAATGACTGGATCAAATGGAGTTGCTAATCCTAGTTTTCTGAGAAATCTCCACACTGATTTCCACAATGGTTTCACCAGTCTCTACAATGGTTTTACCAGTCTCCACTCCCACCAACAGGGTAGAAGGATTCCTTTTTCACCACATGCCTTCCAGCGTTTGTTATTGGTCGATTTCTTGATGATAGCCATTCTTTCTTGGGTGAGGTGGAATCTCAGCATTGTCTTAATTTGCATCTCTCGAATGACCAGTGACACTGAACAGAACTGAGGACCAATGGAGCCAACTTGAAGATACAAAAACAACACCAAACACAGCCTCATCTTTGAGGCCACATACATTCACTGGAAGAAAGAGAGCCTTTGTAATAAATGGTACTGGAAAAACTCACTTTCCATGTGCCAAAGATTAAACTAGATCCATATCTATCACCACTCACTAAAGTCAAAATGAATCGAAGATCTAAATATTAAAACAGAAAAACTAAATCTGTTGGAAGAAAGAATAGGTAGAATTCTTAAAGACATAGGTATAGGTATAGATTTCATGAACAGTATCCAGATTGTATGGGAAATATTACAAAGAATCAACACTGGGATCTCTTCCTATTTAAATCACCAACAGAATGAAAAGACAATGCACAAAGTGGGGGAAAAAAGCCAGTTGTCCCTCAGACAAAGGACTAATATCTGGAGCATATAAAGAATTTTTAAAAATCCGATCCTCCCAAATTTAAAGACCCAGTCCAAAAATGGGTATCTGAGATGAAGACCCACTTCTCAGAAGAAGAAATAGAAATGGCAAATAAATATATGAAAAAATATCCCACCAATTTTTGATGCATAATTCACACACCCTAAAACTGACTTGTTTAAAAATGAGTGCATCTCTGCTTTTTAATACACTCACTAAGTGGTGGAATCACCACCACCATCTAATTGTAGGACTTTTCATTACTTCCCAAAGGACTCCCTTCTCTGCACCATGTACCCATTGCACATTAACTTTCCATGCAGCTTTTCACCAGTCTTCTGCAACCACCACTCAGTGTTTGAACTGTGGGATTTATCCACTCTGCACATCCCACAGAATTGGTTTCATAAAATACATGGCCTTTTATGTGTGATTTCTTTTACTTAGAGAAATATGTTCCATGGTCACCATTGATTTTGTTTGCCATCAACCCCTTTTTCTTTTTTGATTATTGCAGAGTTATGCAGAGTACATGTTACTACACTCTTTGTGGGTTTCTTTTTTTAATTGAAATTTTGGTAAATTTATTCCTTTAATGAGCAATAAATTCTGACACACCATATGCCAGAGATACAACTTGAGCATGTCATGCTAATTAAAATGAATCAGCCACCAAATGACAAACTCTATATGATAATTTTTGTATGACGTATCTTCAGTGTACAAATCTATGAGAAAAGGAAGTAAACTGGTGGCCGCCAGGGGTTGGAGAAAGGGAAAGAGAAAAGTCTGAGTGTACAAAATGAAAGAGTTCTGGAGATTCACTCCTCACCATCAGTAATGGACACCACATTATTGTACTGCATACACTAGAAAAAAGCATGGCATGACCAACGCACTCTGCTCAGTGCAGTTTGTCAGACTTCTGAAACTTATCTCGGGCCCATCTATACTTCATAGTAAAATTCAGATTTAGAAGAACCCAAGGCAGTTTATAAAGAATGCCCCATCATTTATATCCAATAACCCTTGGTATCTGACAAAGCCCCTCATCTCCCACCACCTCACAAATGATGTCTCCTCAACTTGGCTTGTCTTCCAAAGGAACCTTGTTAGTTGATCTACTCAGAATCAATGTTTCCTCCTGATTCTTCCACTTCACAACTGCCCATCCTCAGACATCCAGCCTGCTGCTCCTTCCATGTAAATTTGCAGTACTCAGGGTACTTTCAGAATCAAGCACAATATCTCTTCCCCCACCAAAACACTTCATTGAGCTGTTCTCTATATCTACCTTACTGTTCTTGAGTAATGTCTGTTTACCATGCATAACCAAATGTTACTGAATGACCTTATTCTATAGATAGTTGTTTTGCGAATTTTTCCTGAAAGTTATATTGGGAAAAGCTATAAAAATACTTCTGGGACAAACACAGCCACCTGCATCTTCCATCAGACCACATTTGGAGTTGTGCTCTCTGTGGCTGATTTCACTGTCTTGGCCAAGGCTATTACTGAGGTGCTGGCCTTCAAGGTAATTACTCTAGGGAGAAGGATGAGGTAGTTGCTGGTACCATTGAATTCCATCATCCCCAACTGCTCCCTGATCCAACTCACTCTCTGTGGAGTCTGGATGGGGACAAATCCACCCTACATTGACACAGA